TAAGACGTTACATTACATTTATGAAATTCTGATTTTACAGCAATCACTTTTTGGCGATACGGTTCAGAGCACGTCAAGCTTGACACTTAAGATTTACATCCTACTCCACGCCGCTTACGATAAGAAAAACTTATATTGCGAACAAAAATAAATTCAATAAGAAACGAGCAGACAATTAAATAATAAACGTGTCTCGTATAATGATAATAAATAACGCGTTTACAATTAATCTCATTGTTTACACTCGCCATGTCCAAAGCATATTATCTCGTTGGTAAATATACATAAATGTTAATATGTACATAATGTAACAACGTCAATGAAAATATCCTTAATATGATTATGTTGTTCATGATGTTTACTTTGCTAACGCATACTACGCACACTGGAAGCTCGTAAAGCTGTATTAGTTACAATATAATTTATGCACACAAAAAAACATTATGAGTTTTAATAAAGATGAGTTTGTTGTCAACTGCTGCAAAAAAGAAAGTTTTAAATTTATTTTTTCCTACGAACTAGGTGCCTCGGCGGTTAGCACGGTTATTTGGTTTAGTGGTTAGTGCCCAAGAAGATGTGGCTAACCCTGGGTGTCGCCACGACGAGTTTCTTGGATACAAATACATCGCACTTTAAATAATATCTTACTTATTTTTAACTGACTTTAAGGAATTAAAAGGAGGTTTTCATACTGTTTGTTTTGTATGTGTGTTACGCAATTACTCCGGCATTTGTGAACCGATTTTGATGGTTCTTTTTTTATTGGAAAGAGGGTATATCGGTCCCATTTAAATTTGAAGAAAATATTCCACCTTTAAGGGGACCAAACTAGGGGATGAATCCTGTTTCACGCACTTTCCGGTAACCGATTTTAATAAAACTTGGCAAATACCAAAATTTTATTACACGAACTTTAAGATCGTTTTATTTTTTATAAAAAACAAATTATAATTATGCCAAAAATACTCTAAATTAATTTACACAACGCGCAGAGCCAGTTCTATCGCTGAACAATGGAATATTTGCCAGATAAAAGTTTTTGGATCATGTCAACTGAACGCCATAAAATTTGTTATTTTTTATCCAAAATAAGAATAATAACCACACCAATTATCTGGTCTCAAATGAGGGAATTCTCAGTATTATGAGTACCGGAGCAACGGAGTTCACTTCGGGGCACTAGCTATCAAACCTGGGAACCCGACAGTCGCGTAGTTATTATTAAATACATAATAACACAAACATTCATAGCCTCGCACTAAGAAGACCCTGTGTCGCAGGTTTCTTTCATTAGTGCTTAAATCTTTTTTGCAAACAAAGTTTCTGTAATTACTTTTATTATATTTGGCAACATAATATTAGACAACATCGCATACCTACCTACGCTGCTCTGATCGGAATTAACGATGGTAACACCCAGATCGGAGGCAATAATAGAAAAGTTAGTTTTCCACATTGACCCGGTCGGTGATCGAACTCGGGACTTTAGAGATAAATTAATAAATAACACACACACTCATAGCTCCGCACTAGGGAAACCCTGTGTCGCGGGTGCCACGGACATATACATAGACACCAAAAATTACACCCAAACTCACGAGAGAAGTAAATGTAGACCATACAAATATTTCCCAGAAGAACCCAGGACCTCTGCGTGGCAGCCCAGCATGGTAACCGTTTGGCAATCATAAAAATAGTATCAAAGTTCCTTTCAAGTTTAGTAGGAAACAAGTTTTTTTTATAACATCAAGTGACGGGACGAACAAGACGTGCACCTGATGGTAAGCAACACCCCTGTCCTTGACACTTACAGTGCCACTCAGAGCTTTAAATTGCAAAGATCTAAGGTGCACTACCACTGCGCCCGTCACCCTGAGACATAAGTTGACAAGTCCCATGTGTCTGTAATTTCACCAGCACCCTCACCCTTCCAAACCGGAACACAGTAATGCTGACATTACTGCTTGGCGGCAGAAATAGGTAAGGTGGCAGTACTTCCCTGGACGAACTCTTTCACAAGACGCGCGCTTACACAAACCTAATTACCATACTTTAGTAGCAGTAGCTACTAAAGTATGGTAATATATAATATAATAGTAATAGTAGAGTTTCTTGTGAAAAGGTTCGTCCAGGGAAGTACTGTCACCTTACCTATTTCTGCTGCCAAGCAGTAGAGGGAAGACAATTGTAATACTGTGGCCGTGTGAGCATTCCTGCGTTCCGGTTTCCAAGGGTAATAGAGCTGGTGAAATTACGGGCACATGAGTCTAGTCAACTTGTTTCAGGGTGTCGGGGGCAGTGGCAGTGCCCCTCAGATCTTCGCGATTTAAAGCTCTGAGTGGTACTGCAACTGTTATAGACAGACGTGTCGCTTACTAGCAGGCGCACGAGTTGTTTGTCCCGTCACTGAGTTTTTATAAAAAATAAAAAAGTCATACATACCTAGTTTAAGCAGGCCCATGGCCAATACAACACATCCGGAGAGGAAGGTGAGCAGTACGACGAAGTCGATGGGCAGCCCGTGACAGGTTTGCAGCGTCATCAACGCCATCAGTGACGTCGGCCCGATTGAAACCTCCTTCACCGTTCCCAGGAGAACATAAAGCATCGTGCCTGCGCACCAACAAGGTTAAATGAATCGAAAGAAATGAGACGCTGACCAGTGAGTTTACGACCGTTCGTAAAATGTTAATTTTTTTAAGAAACAACATTTCGGCTCTCATCGTTAACTTCTGTAACTGACATTTTAGTCGTAACTGGGTAAAGGAGTCACCACACGTTAGTAACGCGAAATAGACTCGAGCTGGTTAGAAAAAGCTTTGTCATTGCAAAATTGAGTTTTCCAGAAAATACACTGTGTTAGTGACAATTCTGGTACCGCAGTTGGCATCACACAAAGTACCTATATTTAATGCTTAGTGCCCTTATGCGAATTATTTGTTTGAATTTTTTTTTTGTTTGTGTTTTTGTTTTCTATAATTATATCGACACTGGAAAGGTAAAACGTCTAACGTGCATTTGGAAAGTATTACAGGAGAGCGAGAGAGATATTCCGTATCGGTATTTTAAAAGCAAAATAATCCCACTAATCATTCATTGTACGTATACTTTTTAACAGTCTTCAAAAAAAAGGGGGAGGTTATACATTGGGCTGTATGTTTGTTTTCAGATATCTCCGTCAATTGTGGACCGATTTTGAAAATTCTTTTTTTGTTTGAAAGGGTGCACTCTCGTGGTGGTCCCATTGTCACCAAGTCAGAGCCTAATGAGGGGACCTCATGAATATCGAAGGAAATCCTCAAATTTTATAGGCATGTCCTTGTATTCACCAATTTCTCCATCAATAGTGCACCGATTTTGAACATTTTTTTTTGTTTGAAAGGGTATACTCTCGAGGTGGTCCCTGATGCTGTTCGGGGTTCGTTTTCCGCTATAAAAGTCGACTTTTCATTTGACACAATACATGTAATCAACAAATCACCGTCCACCATGAGAACCAGAAATGAAAATATTATAAAATGTACACTGGAATCCGTAACAGTCCCATTGTCACCAAGAAGTCAGAATCAGATGAGGGGATCCCATGGAAATAAAAAAGCCGGTAAACAACCTTTTGAGGTCGATTTTTTTTCAATGGAAAAGTTACATTATTGTAAGTAGACGACTATAACAGTACGAGTTTAAAGATATCTGAAGGTGAGAAGCTCTAGACCAAACACCTACGTTGCATGGAAAGATGATTGCGGCAGTTACTAATCAAGTCAAAAATTTAGACGCGACCTAACCATCAATGATCCAACCAGTCATTGACAGATATTGCATCGTCTGCAATGGGCCTAAGGCTGACACATTGACTGCTCTCATTATCAATATATGATATCATTTATTCCTATTAATAATAATAATATTTATTCAGCGAAAAGTGTACATCATTATAAGCTAAAGAAACATAAGTACAATAATAGGCTGCAGAATGTACTTTTCAATTGACTTCTCCACTTGCAAACAGCGCTATGTGACATTTTTAATGATTTTTAGTTAATGGCATGAAATGGTCAGTATTTTAAATAATTTCAAATACTTCAACAATACAGTGCCAAAGCTTGGCATATTCTGAACAAATCAGTGTCAAATGTTGACTACTCTCGCAAAAGTCGCTGTCTTTCTTAGTTTGACACTTTCAAAAGTTGCCATTTTGTCGTCAACCTGCAAATGCTGCTCTATTGAGCATAAACTCGTGCAAAATCAGTTATTTTGTTTGATATTTATTATTTTGTCATCAGAGAGGTCCCTCGTGTTCATATATTGAGAACTTGATCGTCAAATATTTCGTACATACGAAATTCTTGAATTTTATGCTCATATTATCGGGCAACTCAAGTACAAGCAAATGTGACTGATGAACAAGAAATAACAGATAATGAAGATACGTCAATGGTTGACGACGTTGATGAGTCCAAAGGAAAATCAAAATTACATTTAAGTTGTATTTTTTTATATTATTATAACAAAATTAGCCATGTTATCATTGTGTTGTTACAAAACTAGCAACATTAGTTCTGAACAATTACAAAACTAGTTATTTTAAGATTACTATTGCAGAACTAAAGTGAAAAGTTTAATACTGTGATTTTGTTTCTTCATATCGTTTTTTTATTACAATTTTCAGATAATTAAAAAAGTATCGTTTAAAAATCCGTATTCGGAACAATAATCGTTTTATTATTATAGCTTTTTTTATCAACGCACATAACGCAATTTGATAGTGGACTACTCATTTATATGAAGCCTCTACAGTCGAACTAGGAAGTCCTGCATCTTAACGTGTACCTAGTGCCTTTCAAATTGACAAGTGCGACAAGTAATGCTGCAGACATGTAGATAGATTTTGCTTAACACTATTTATTCCGTTATTATAACACTTAATTCAATAATAACATACAATTTTGCCGTGCACTATATCTAACACACACTGTATCTAACACCAAATACAGTATATTGAGAAAAAGCTGCAAAAAGGACTTCGCTTTTTTGTAATTTTTCATTCAACTTACTTTGTACAGTCAACAAAACAGTGCAACGGAACGAGATTAGTCAATGTGACTCAATGTGTAGCTCGATGTGCTGTACATTGTATATTAAAGAACAACAGAGTTGTTCCTTGAACGGTAAACTTGGGACTTCTCAAGGCGAGTGATTAGGCATTATTTAGGTGTGCATGTTCCATCGTCGGACGGAAGAAAAAAAATTTTTGTTTGTGGTCGACTTCATCGCCACTTTCCATCAGATGAGATGGAAGTGAAATGCGCACTTAAATAAAAGAATTATAAGGTATCTATATTTGACTTTGCAGAATCTGCTATTTTTATTTAAAAACATTCTTGTAATTATGAAATTACAAAACACTGTACAGCGACTTGCAGTATTTAGTTTGACATGATAAATTGAAAAAAAAAAAAAGCTTTGGCCAAAAATTTTTGGCATCTGACAAAATATGAAGATTTAAAATAACGCACGAAATATAGTACATTGTTAATCGAGGGACTAAAACGAGCCACTACATAGTTAGTTAGACACCCGAGTTTGAACGAGGGAGTCTATTACTCTGAGGGTTTATATTGGTTTTTAGTTTCGAGGTGAAAACTTTACTTTTCACTTCGATTGCGAGGAAAAAATTGAAATCGTTTTCGATCTCCTACAAAAATTCTGAAGTTTTCGCACTATTTTTTTTCCAACCATACACAGATGCGACCATCGAGTATCTAAATACTCGATGGATGCAACAAACCACAGAATATAAAATACAGCAACAAACACACTAACGCGGGAAAATAATATAGCGCCATCGTCTATGCGGAAAAGGCATGCAACTAAAATCGAGCGTACTACTGGCTGTTTGAGTTTGTTCACTCGAAGTAAATATAAAATTAGGTACTTTTTACTCCATAAGGAAGGATGCACTTTACTCCCGCTACGTTAATATTGACATACTTTTAGTGCATGAGAAGTGAACAATAGTGTTTTCTAATATTCCGCGAAAACTTCAGAATTTTGGTTCGTAATTTTGTTATAGAGCGAAAACAATTGAAATATTTACACGTCTAAAGCCAATATAAAACTTCCTCATTTGTTCCAACCAACGTTCCGGGCCCTTTACAGGTCCTATGTTCACGGTTGACCATTTCCTATGTGTAACAATTGCGAAAATCTAAGATCTCGATAATCTAATAATATCGATTTTTTTTACAGAAAGCCGTAAACATGTGTTTCTTTAAAAAATTGTAGAACAAAAATTTCAACTAAATGTTCGAAAATATAATATTTCTTACACCTATTTAATAAGTACCTACGTACACAGTTTAAAAAAACTGACATGTAACATTTTGAACCCTAGTTAAATTGCGACGTTTTACAGATCTAATATCTACGTTATGATAATAACTTTTAACGTAATAAAAATAAAAAATAGCACTTAACACAATAGGGTTCACAAGTTACGTGTTTGTTTAACAAAACGCATTCATATTCACCAACAAAGGCTGAGTAGAGTCCATACTGCACTGGCAGATTAGCCAAAGCAGCGTAGGCAATACTTTGCGGTACCAGGGTGAGTCCCAGTGTAACACCAGCGATGAGGTCAGCCAGGGCCGATTCGCGGTCGTAACTCGGCGCCCATCGCAGCACCGGAAACCTCTTCCGCGCTACCCTCAGCCACCACGACTCCGCCTTCCGGTTTTTCGGGAACGGAGACCCTATGTCTTCCATAACGTATGGTGTCCTCTAACCGGTAGCCACCAAATTATTTCACCTCCACCCTTGTTGTATTAAAATCAACTAAACGACAAGGGATGTACAGACGAATATTTACTTTTCGACGGCTTGTTGAGATTTATTAAATATAATTTTACAAAGGGACGGGCTGTTTGAGTGACAGCGCACGATAACCTGGGTCAAATAAGTCCAAATGTAGGATGGAGGCGTGGTAGCCGATCGCCGGGTATCGCGACACTGATGTGGAGCTACTGTTAACAGATCAGTGTCGCGCCATGCGTATGCCGTCAAGGTCACTCCTGAGGAAGACTTCTTATGTATACATATATTGTGCTATGCATCCTTCTCAAGACTTGGTAAGTTTAATTTACTAACCAATATTGGGTGACCCCTCAGTCGCCCCGCCCATCAATATGATAACATCAAACACGAAGACTAATCTGAAATACCGCGAAAAAATCCAGTTGTTCACGTACGTTTGAGTTCCTTCGTATATAAACATTCATTATAGAACAAAATACGATCCCTTCCTTTGGAAAACTTTTGAGGTCGTTCTGTATATGGTAAACCAACAACCATAGATTGTGTGTGTATAATGTCTATGTAAACAGTCTGAACTAACAGATCACAATAAACAAATAATTGTTTTTTCATTTATCAAAAATTTCCAGTGATCCGGTTTAGGTTAGATATCACAGGGTCACAAATATGTGAAACCTACTTTTCATTTCTTAAATAAATACAAGTAGCATGTACTTATTTCATTATTTCGTCTCCCGCCTAACTGCCGTATCGGACATACTTGGCACCAAACAGTGACGTTAGACTCGAAGCGTGGAGATGGTGGAGATAGTTTCCTCCTCACCTCTAATAATTGACGCATATCTTCCGCTATTTATATTAAAATTTTTTATTGTTGTTTGGTTGACCATTATAATATAGTCTATGGTCATTTTGAAAATAATATTTTAGCGCGCATTTTAAGAATCGACGGGAAAGCCATAAGTTTTAATTTTGATGAATCATAAAGGTGTCGTGTTGCATCATGATAATGCCAAACCACACAATCTTTACAAAGCTGTCAAAAATTATGACAGGTTGGGATGTGTTACCTCATCCCTTCCAAACAGTCTCTTCAGAATTTTAGTTATTTCGGCTGCCCTGATAAGCCGAAAAGCGCTATCTCAATCGGAGTAAGTTTTGAGAAAATCGACTTTTTGTAAATTGCATTTTATGTAATTGTATTGTATTTAAAAATACTTCTTAGTGGTTTTTTAAATGTTTTAAGTTAGATAGCGCTATTTCTATTATACCATTAGATGCGAAATTTTTATAGCTATTGAATGGCATAAAAAAAACTAAAAAGGCGTAACTCAGAGATAGCGCCTTTCGGCTTAGCAGGGCAGTCGGTGTTTACAAAATTCTTTGAATGGACACAAGTTTGATAACGAAGAGACCATCAAACGTCACTTAGAGCAGTATTTTATAAAGTCGTTGTTTTGTACAAAGGGCGTAAAGCGATATTTCGAATTTTTTTTCAGGGGAGCATGTTTAACGACTGTTTTAAAATATTTATGTCCTGTTTTAAAATTCAATTTTGGTTTTAATTAAGTTTAAGTTGTGAAATTGAATTTAAAATTCAATTTTACAACTTGCGTCCTATTGGACGTAAATATTTTAAAACAGTCGTGAAAACTTAAAACATTTCTACAAAACATCGACGATGAGAACCTAAAGATAGAGTTTTTTATGAAAGGCGTATTCCAGTATTAGCCGCAAGATAGCAAAAGATTGACCAATTTACATAATTGATTAAACTTTGATATATATTTTTTAAATGTTTTTCATTTATTTATTGCACCATGATATGATTTTTGGGCCAATACAATAAATATGATATTTACACACGACTGTTTCTTGCTATTGATGTACCATATCGTGTCACCCTCTACAACTCTACTGTGCAATGAGCTACCTCCTTGGCTTGCAGTCACATACACTTTCCGCGAATTCGTCAGACGTTGCCGACGGTAGTTGGGGGAATTCTAGAGCATTCTCAAATCGACTAAATAAATTAAGCCTACGTCTAGAGTCGGAACGATTAATCAATGCGTATCTCTAAATTAACTTTGGCTGTCTAGTTGCAAACGATATCAAATGTCTGCGTTAAGTAGGCTAGTTGTCACGTGCTCCATTTTTTGTCATTATAGCTAACATATTAGAGTGGCAACTTTTAGCAGAGCTTGCGATTTATAGGCGATAAGCAATCACACGGAGATATAAACTGTCTTTTTAGAAGATAACTTTTGCAAAGGCGTTTTATAATTCTTTTTTAAATATTTTTTTATAGAAGTTTCCTAAAATAGTGAAAAAAAAAGTATGTTTAGGTAGAAGTTAGGTAGTCAATAATTACACGAAAAAAGTAAATTATATACTGCTAGAACCATGAAAAACATAAAGTGGTCAGCCAACCTGACGTCAGTATGGCTGGCCACTTTATTTCTTTAATATTTCCGTTAGCGCTAAGGTACAAAATATGTCAATAAAGCTAATAAATAGTAGAAAACAGGTATAATGAGCACAGTTTCATGTGTATATCTCGTTTGGTCCAGCCATCCTGACGGACATGGTAACAGGGGATATACTCCCGTTCTTCCTCCGACATCCATCCGAAGCAATTACTGTCAAATAAGTAATATTCGGCAAAATTAAAAGACGCGTGATGCGAATGAAGCTTCATACACGACATTATCTCGTGATTTTGTCAAATATTACTTATTTAACAGTGATTGTCTGACGCATTACGATAAATACCAAACAGTCAAGTTAATAAAACTTTTTTAACTATTAATTAACACCCTGTACATAGCGCCATTGATCCCTATAAAAATGTATCACATTCTTACACATCATAACACATGATGAAACAATTAGGTGCTGTAATAAAAGACGTAAATCAATATACAATAGATTTATTTTAAAACAATCTTTCTTAGCGAGCGACTGAGTGATTCGTTACGGCCGTAGACTGATTTACTTTTCTTTAAGGCACAGTTTATGATTGATAATCATATGTATATATTTAATTAATTAACCTTTGAATGGGAAAAACAAACAAACCGCCGGTCGATGAGCAACAGTCATGTTGGGGAAAGTCTTGCCTCCAGTGATGGAGGACCTAGGTTGTATTCCCATTTAACCTTCAGAGGTGTTGCACATCTGAAGGCTAAATGGAAATATCGATTCTATACTTGAGATGAAGTATTTTATAACACATCTGTATTTGATAACATCCTTTCTATGATTATTTTACAATTCAACAATGAAGAATAGTTTGTCAAATGTGTCGATTCACTCAGCATTAAGTCAGTCCAGGCAAGGTATATGTAATCTTTGGCGCGAAAGAGTGCCTTTTACCCTTGTCCCGCCTTCCGAGAGTCTTCCTCCTGGACTTGAATAGCCCTGGTCGATCTGGAAGTACTTCTTTAAGTAAGAGGCAAACGAGCAGGCGAGCCACTTGATGAGAGGTGGTCATTATCGCCCATTTACTCCTGCAACATTAGAGGAGCTGCCTATGCGTTGCGGGCCTTTGAGAGCCCTGTTGACTCGATTTTTGAAGAATCCCATGTCATAGCGCAAGGGAAATACTTCAGGATAAGACCATTCCACATCTTGGAAATTCGAGGAAGGAAAGAACGTAACGCCTGCGTGGTCTTAGAATGCCCGGTATCATGGATGTGGGGATGAGCTCTACTTCTTTGGCGGGAAGTGCGGTGGTGGAAACGTGACGGTGGAACCAATTCGAAGTTTCTCTGATCATTCCTAGTTATACAAACGGTAGAACAAACAGAGAGCATACGTCTCTCCGTAGGCTAAGGGACTCAAAATTTTGAATAGGCTTCAGACTCAATTTCGCTAGAGCAAGGGCAATTTGTTCAGGGGGGGATTTTTGGATAGTTCAAATCCGGATTGTGCGATTCAAACGATAGCGAATCTCACATCAATCTCTACGTGGCTTAACACCTTAACACGGTTGATGACTTAATGGCGGCTACTAGTGACGCTGTACCTGTGCTGAGATTATCTTGGTAATTTAGGGGCCAAGTATTAGTCGTACAGAATCTGATCCCAAATTTGATTTATTACGTGTAGATTTATTTCACTACCTCGATGGCACAGCGACAAGCACCGTGGCCGCTAGGTGCGAAGATCCCGAAACAAAGTTTGCAGACTTGGTATTGAGGGTATTACAAGGAATTCCCTGGTTCGAGGCCAGGTAATTGGTGTGGTTGTTTGGCATATAACAAGGACTGACATTAGAGAGGTGGGATTGGTGACGAAACTAAGCGTAATGCGGTGACAATTCAATTCTATCACAATGTTCACAAGGTCTCTTCTTGTTCACTCGCTCTTAATATTACTATATCCAATGTCTACGGCTGTAACTTAATCTCTACGGCCACCATCGATTCCACGTACCATATTATACAATATGCAACGAAGGTTTTGCTAAAATCAGGTACTTACTTCTAGTTCTCCCCTTACCCATATATAAGGCTCTATATTACTAACATTTTGTATTATATACAACTCCAATACGCGGCAGTGGCTAAAGGCACATGTGGTTACAATAGTATAAATAAAATAAATAACTAATAAAAGCAATAATATGTACAAAAATGCTTACTACGATGTAAGTAGGTTGTGTTGTTCTTGAGTCATCATTTTAGTCGAAAGACGTCCACTGCTGAACATAGGTCTCTCCCAAACGCCACACATACCGGATTTGCATCCAGCGGATTCCCGTAGCTTTCACCAGGTCGTTGGTCCACCTTGAGGATGGTCTACCCACGCTGCGTCTACCTCAGAACTCTTTGGCCCCATCGGGTATCTGTTCTGCGAGGAACGTGCTGCGGCTACTGTCACTAAGCGTTCAAATAAGAATCGATTTTTCATATGAAGCGGGCTTTCAAACCTGTCCAGAGACATTTGCTTTAGTCTAGTTGGCAACACTGGCAATGGACGGTCCATTACATACTCAAGTGAAGCGGAGACGAGCAAGAACAATTTCAAGCCGCTTAATCAAAATAATGTACAATACGAGATATATCACACATCGATGCTTTACAAAAAGGCAATCTGTTGATTTCGGGTATGTAGAGCGTTGTCTCTGTCACTCATACCTGTATGACATTTTGTCGTTGATCAGTTGATAAGTGCTGTACGAATCCGAAGATAGTGTTAAAATGAAGAGCGCTCGTGCGTTAAGAACAATTTGCCGTCTGCCGCGCATATTAACAATTAGAATTACAATAATGGTAACTATACGAGAGCTAGGAGGTAAAGCTGTAGTGTGAAGTGATGGTAACTGTGCAGTGGTGAGTCGCAGCTACTTGACCTTCTTCATTATCAAGTCGATCTGCTCATCGACGCGTGGACTTGTCCCCCTGTACAGAAACGCACTGACTGTAGATTGAACAGCCTCATGGTCTTGTTGTCATACAAAAGTTTTATTCCAAATGTAGATTAACCTAGAGTCCCATTTTGGAGCATATATGGCTGCTAATACGGAGATCCCGGATATTCCGAGCGATTCCTGGTGTTACCAATCTGATTTTTTTTTCTAAATTGGTCCTGTTGTCTCGTATTTATAGTACAAAGAATATCCTGGATTTCAGATTAGATAGTTTACATAAGGTTGTTTGGCATCATTATAAATATTAACTGCCTCCGTAGCCGAACGGATACCATGCCGGACTGCCACGCAGAGATCCCAGGTTCGATTCCCGGGCCGGGAGAAATAGTTGTATGGCCTACA